GGTCCAGACCAAGTCTTTTCCTCCACTGTTGGTTATTCGGCAAGCTGCTTTAATTGGAATTTGACACACTCCCCCAAGTGCCCCTGAAAAGTTGCCAGACGTCAAATTTCGCATGATTCAACCCCAGTTGATCTTGCCACTTCAACACAGAAAACTATGTCAAAACTCATTTATTTCTTGATGAAATTTTCGGCACAACAACTGAACATGTTTTTGCTTCGGGAGTAGAAATAACACCACAAGGGTGAAAATGGTGTACATGCTAATAAATAATACACTCCGAATAATTACATTTTTCATCAGAATTTCTGCAACATTATTTAACAAAAAATGTGATAAGTTTTCTTCAAAGTTAAAAAAACATGATCCCTATTTTGTCCAGAGCGGTATTTTCAAATACATAGAATGGTATTTCCGGTGATGCATACGTACTTAGGTCGGGTGCGACCCTTGGTCCCACCTAATCCTATTACTTACAAAAATGCCATTAAACGGTAAGACCCATGAGTTGGCTGAGACTGATGAAGAGGTAGGTGAGCAGGAGGCGGCCAGAGAAGACCAGGCGTGCCACCGTTTGTGCGTTGAGCGGCTTTTGTTGGGTGCGTGCGGATTTTCACACTTTACGCATGGACGGATCCATTGGCCGTCAAACAACAAGGTTGCCTGGGGTGGAAAAGAGTTACGCAGGGCATTTATTGGCACCTGCCCAACTGTACTTGGGCGGTTGACTCAGCCCTCTTCTTGAATACTTGCGGCACCTAAGCTGTTTGCCATTCCCTGTTTCCCGGGATTCGAACATATTTCGCTAAATTGCATTTTTGCAGTCATTTGAGCTAATTGCATTAGACTCATTTGACACGTTGGTTTAGGTCGACACTGACAAAGGGTAGGGAAGATGCATATGTACAAAGATAAACCTGTGAGAAAGGGAAGCCCACCCATGGAAATACATCAAATAATTCCCTTATCAGAAAATGGGAATAGAGATGGGAATAGGTTTGGTTTTAATCGACAACGAACATGTGTCGAAGCTTGACCAAAATCAATAAAACAGCTCTCTGTATTTTTTGTTATGCCCCCCAGTTGTCCTTTTGCAGACTCAATTTCATGCATATGGACGTCAAAATGTTTGCGAATTCCCCAGCGCTCTCTCCACCATTTCAGTTTATCAAGTCGTAAAGGTAAACAAAATCAAATCGATAGGTTACTGAACCAAGAGCACGGTGCAAAAACAACCTACAAATACAGGCCCACAAGCGAATTCACTGGCAAAACAGCTGAATGCATTAGTAAACATCTCTCAGGAACCACAAGCAGATGAAGAGTAGCAGGAATCTTGGCAACAATGCAAAATGAAATGCTAAATATAAACTGCAAACTGCACGGCATATGCAAAAATAGAGGGAGGGAAACGGAGAGAGCTAAGAAAAGGTAGAACTTAGCTCTGAGAGATAGAAATTTATCTCCGAAAGCACCAAATGTCGTTTATTCTTGGCCATCTTCGCTTCGACGTCTTGTTGGGCTTGATCTTGCTCTGTTTTGAAATAGCATTTTCATTTTTTTTTTTGCTAAGAAGCGTATAAAATAACTTGTAATTTTTCGAGTTTTTTCGTTTTTGCAGCAGAGCAGAAACCTTAACATAAAGCAAAACCTAATCAAAGTAAACAACCAGCAAAAACGGCACAAAAGACACGATGTCAGCAACGAATATGTACACTTGTATCGAGGGGAGGAGTTTTGGTATATCTGCTCCGCTTGTTTCTGTTGTTTATAAAAAAAAAAAGAGCGCTGTTTATTTATACAATAATGCATACACATCATACAACAATTTACTTTATATTTATATTCGTTGCCGCTCCTCTGTCTCCTTTCAACACATGTCACTCGCAGTAGCTGGAAAAGCGCTTTTAACCCGCAAAGTAGCGAAATCAAATGAACATTTGCAAATTTTGTGCCACGAGTACGACGGTTGAGTGCCAAATTATAATTGCCTTAACGGCTTTTGTATTTGGTCAGCAGGTGCAAAGGTTGAGCTGATAAAGCGATCTGAGTTTAGCGGTAACAGGAAAAAATAAAATTATTTTAACCTGAGCTTAATACAATAACGAAATTCATAACCTTAACTATCAGATACCATTTACTCTGCCAACCAATTTTAAAATAAACATGCGTTCAGCAGAAAGACTCTTTATGGGGCTTATAGGGTTATTGCATGCGACAACTGCCGTATAGTATAGACATAACGTAACTGACCTTCCTATGTCTTCTTACATTAATCAAAATACAAATTTCTAAACTAAAACAAGAAAGACATTGAAGCTATGATAATTTGCAGCTCAATAATTTGATATCGTTTTCCGATTTTAATAAAATTAAAAGCGTAATTCTGAACTGTCAAATAATTTTCTTTTTTCTCTAGGAAACAAAGGTATTACCAACAAATGAAATGGGATGGAAAGGCATGGAGCCGTATGGTAAATAGCAGAGATAAATGACACCTGTAGGATATAGAAAACCAACTTTGGTTAAGACTCATTGGCTAGTTTCTAAATGCTTTAAAAAATCAAATTTGATCTACGTTTACATCAAAAAAAGGTTAGAAAGTTTCAAGTCTAAAAATTGAGCTCGCAATCGGTATAAAAAATACACTATTTTTAACACTGAGAGCATAATCGGCATAGAACCTTAGAATGACAGATATATGGCAGTTTTGAAATATGGTCAACCAATTTTCGTGAAACTCGATATACTATATACTCAAACGTCAAAGGGACAATTGCGAATATTAAAGTCTTTTGCCTTAAAACGGACATACGGACAAACTATAAACTGGTATATACGTTATGTTTTTAAAGCTTAAGCTAAGTAAGAAACTCGAGAGACAATAACGCACTTTAACATCGAAATTTAAAATTTTGTCACGAAATATTATTATAACTGGCAGACTTTAAATAAATATCCAAAAAACAGTACTTCATATTACACTGGCTTACAAATTTAAATCGATGAAATTCTTCAGAGATCAAACCTTGATTTTTCGGTGCAGATGGATGATTCATGCCGATTTTATTTCTTATCTCCAGTTTACTTAACTGATTTCGGTCTTCGTTAGCCTGTTTCACTAGAAATAGATCGTTCTTAATCTTTTCCCAACATGTTATAGATATTTGTTTCCTTATATAGTTGATGGAGCTAATCAAAGTTTGAATAAATTTCCAAAAGTTTGTTTGGATTGACAAATTTAGTTTTTTGACGATTATTGTAAGCTATTATTCTATAAGGTCAAGAAACCTCCGAACGTTTTTTAAATTAAAAGATGTCAAATATGGAACAATTGGGGAAATAAATATTTCAGAATTAGTTAGAAGTTGATTAACAAAATACTGTAAGTTTCTTAACTGACACAAGTCCTTCGAACGACTAAAAGTAAATTATTCATGAGTTTTTAAAAATGAAATTGATTGACCTGTTACATATTTATATTATAACTTTTCTATAATTTGAAAAAAATTAACTTGAACAATGGTACACAATTAGAAATAAGTTGTAATTTACCGTACTTCAAAACCAACAGCTTTTTAATAAATAAATAGCTATAATAGTATATTTTTGGTTATTACAGAACATTACACAAAATAAGCATAGTCTTTAGTATCATTGGCTTTATCCTAGTTCTGCTGATCTGTAAACATTTTTTTTTGTATTTGTGAAAAGATATCGTTTAAATTTAGATTTTTAGCTCAAATCCTTACTGCAATGCGTAAAACTAATTATGAATTTTTAAAATTTTATTCTGTTTCGGTTTTTTTTTCATTTATATTACTTTTCCGAAAAATTTTGATAAAACTATTTATTTTTCTTAAATCCATAAAAAAATAATAGTCTCCGAATTACAAAATTTTAGCAGCAAAAAAAATAATTTAGAATTATAAAACTTTGAGGTTTTTTAATTTTATTCACTACTATTATTTGGACCAGTCGATGTTAGTCCTATTTTCAGATAATGGATGATTTCCATAAAATAAACTGCAAAATGGGTCGGTTTTCTTTTGTTTTCAACTATATATAGTCTAATCTAAAAAAATAGTCAATCATGACTAAGTTTGGACAAGAGATATAACCATTACTGTTTCTAATAAAATAGGTATAATAATCGGAATATAGTTGTCATAAAGAATATTTAATTTAAGCAATAGCTGCAAGGGTATATAAACTTCGGCTTGCCGAAGAAAACGTACTTTTTTTGTTTTGTTTTAAATCATGCCCTCAACTATTCAATTCTGCTTGAATTTTAGTTAAAAACATTTTTTGAGACCACTAATAGAGACATAAAGTTAGAATTTAAGTTAGAGAATGTTCAAAAACAATTATACGGTTGAAAAATCCAAATTGAACTTCACCTCCTATTGGATCCGATTCGACAATTTTTAACTGCCACTAGTGGGACACTATGTTTATTAGCCAAGAGGGCGCTTAGCTTAAAGGAAAGGAGAAAAAGATTAGACTCGAAATTAAAGGGGGACAGTGAAGTGCGGCAGGGGAGAAGGACGTGGGACAGCGACGTCTGCGTCAGCTGCAGCCGTACTGCGACGCGGCGTCGCTGCTCCCACATTAGAAAATTGACAACAGAGCTCGAGAGCGAGCTTTGAGGGAGACTGCACTAACACTAAGGAGATTGGGTAAGACACACAATGTACGTACCCATACTCACGCAGGCTCCCCCGCCGGCAAAAAGTGGAAAAAATTCGCGAATATTTTGCTAAAAAAGCTTAGAGAGACTCTCTCGCTCCCGCTCTCTGAGGTGGAGACTCTCCCTTTCTCTCTCCGCTGGCGACTACAAAGCTAAATATTGGCGCGCTCCTGCACACCCATGCACTGAACACCACAAACCGAGCACTATCACAGGCAGAGGGACGGAAAAAGAGAAAGAGGCAAGACGAGGACGGACACACAACCAGACAGAGAAACTGTTCAGACGACGAACCATCGCTGAGAGGCGAGTTGAGTCGCGTTGAGTCTCGTTTCGGGTTCGGACTCAGATTCGCGTTGGCTTCGCATTCGGTTTGTTATTTTTTGGCATTTTGTTCGATTTTTCGTGCCGACATCTAATAAAAAAGCTGTACATCGCGAACGTACATGTGCGGAGAGCGCTACCGTCGAGAACTTGTGAGGCAGCCATCAAAAATAACTAAAAATGTAGTCGGCGAGAGACACAAACCGAAATAAAACGCAAAAGTGCACCGAAAACAATCGCCAGGCGGGCAAAGTGTTGAATAAACAACGCATAATTAACCTGGCTGCCACACATCGCGTCGTATACGCAACGTCGACCCAGCGGATAGAGGAAGCAGCCGTTGGAAGAGCAAAGGGACGAGCAGAAAAGTACAAATAATAAAAGCGCCTAATAAAAAGTGGACATGTCCTTTGGAATTACAGCAAATAACACTTGGCTGAATCAGTAGCTGTTTCGCGATCGTCTGCAGTTTGCTTTTTGCTACATTGCAACCGCATCAGCGTATCTGTGTGTATCTGCCACGCCGCTGCACTGGTAGAGGTATTTTTGCGAATTTCGGCTCGTCTCGGGGGTGTCTGTGTGAGCACGTGCATCTGTGTGCGCTGAGAACTGCGCCTGTGTTCGCGGCCCATTGCAATTGCAATTTTTCGCCCCTACCTCCTCCAGCTGCCCCGTTCGGAGCTTCGACAAGTCGTGCCATTGCCTGCCGCAATCAGCATTTTGAGGTTAGTGTCTTTATACCCTGTATACATACTAGCACAGCCGTTTGGCCCCACACACACCCACAGTCACAGTATGTCAAACACCCATGAAGAGGAACTGGATGGTTTTTTTTTGGGACTTTTAGCCATAGATACGAATTCATATACAGATTTATTGGCTCGCTAAGCAGCTAAATTGGGATAGAATGTGTTCCCGATATGAGTTGCGAGCCCCCAGAATCTGACGATTTCAAAAGTATAAGTATATGGACGAAGAGTTCAACAAAACACTTTCTGATAAGGCTGCATTTGGAAAAGGCCCCAAAGAGATGCATAGGTTGCGAAAATTTATTGGAAACCAAATAAAAGTATATATGTATGTATATATACACAACTAAAAATGTTTGCGCGTAAATCAAGTTGACAAATGCAAAGGAGATTTGCAAGGGGCAGGGGGGGATAATGGTGGGGGGCAAAGTAAGGGGGTGCTGGAAGGGGCGGAACACACAAAACGGCACTAATGAGCAGAGAAGCTCAAAGCAGAAGGCGCAAAACTAAAGCGCGAGCAACAACAAAAATTGCCACAAATCATTTGCAATTTTTATTTGCTTTTTTGCTCTCCGATTTTTTGCGAAATTCTCCCTGGGGCTGAATTCATTTATATTTTTGGTGTCTGGGTTGAGTTGGTGGTGGGGGAGGGGGAGGTGGATGGGGAGCGCGGGAGCTGAAAGAGTATGACATATGTATGTGTGTGTGTGCGTAGTCACGATGGTGTGCGAATGTCAGGCCATAAGGGAATATGATGAATTATAAGCAAAAACGCTTTTCGCACAAAAAACTAAAATCTACAAAATGTTCAGCAACAAAACAAGGAAAATCACTTAATTGTGTGTGCGTGTGTGTCTGTCGTATTTGTCTTTTCGTTTTTTTTTTTAACAGATACATCTCCGACTCCTAATGCATGTGTGGCGTGCTGTGGAGCGTTCATCTGCCGTCAAGCGACGAGTTCGTTGCCGGATAAAATGTTGGTTGTCACACAGCTGGGCTCACATTTGGGCGCCAGTTAAATGTACGAAAGATTTGTTAAAAACAAGTTAACGCCGTGCGAAACTTCATATACCCTTTTTAAAGCTAAGGAGAAAATAACAATGTTGACCAAATCGGAACTCTTATCTGGCTTCTTGTATTCAATTATTTTGGAGGGCCCAAAAAATTCAAGCTAAGCAGATAACCTAAAGCAGCTAAGTTTTTTCCGAAACGCTCTCTGAAAACAAATAAATAGAGGAAAAAAGCCCATTCGGCTGTTTTTGTGAGTCATTTATTGCTTTAATTTTCATTTTGTTTTTATTTACTCTCACATCTCTATACCTGTCGCTGTAGTTTGTGCGCTCCCTCTCTCTCTCTCTCTCTGTCCCTAGTGCGCTCTCTCCCCCTTTCCGACATGCTGGAGCTCTCTTTGCTGTGTGTGTGCGAGTGTTTCGCTAGCAGAGCTTTTGCACATTGAATTAGATAGCTGCACAAATTACGCTAAAATGTTTTGCCGCTCATTTTTTGTGTCTGCTGGTGCAGCAACAAGCGCAAAAACTTTTGACAATTTGTGTATTTTGGTGTTTTATGTTTATTGCCTTAACCTTGAAGTGTGTTCTATTCTGCGTTTTGAGTTAAGGTTACAAAAGTTAGGCCCCTTTAACAAGTATGTATGTATATGGAAGGCAGTCCCAGTTGCGTTAATGTGTTTTATTGGCGGGCAAAATCAATTTGATTTCCCTTTCAGGGGTTATTATAATATCAGTCAAAAGCTTGAAATTTAGTAAAAAAGATACATTGCCCATCTTATGAAGTAATTAAACCCCAAATGTCTTAATAATACTTTCCCAAAAGCCTTCCTTCTGTTGCATATAATATATATGTATATATACAACGCATATATGTATATATGTCAGAATGTTTAGTTGTAATTTATTATATACAACATAAAATTTATGTTGCTATGTTAAGGTATCTTTTTTTACAATCATCATTTGGAAAATTTGCTTTGTAAGGTTTTAAAAAAACGCAATTAAAGTACAGGTAAAAGGTACATCTTATTTTCTTAAAAACTACACTAGACATCATAAATTTGCACAGCTTCTCAATTACTTTAAAAAACATAAAGCAAACAACAAAAATCGGTTTTTATTGTTTTATGTTTTCTTTTATGTTTATGGTTATGGTTATGGTTATGGTTATTGTATCTAAATCAGTTATAAGGAACTTTTGGAGACCTATTGAGCTCTTAATTATAAAAACAACATTTTGTTAATGGTGTAGTAATAAATTATGTACTAATTTGTTTTTGACAATGTTTACTTGTGCCCATCTAAGGTCCGGATCCAGGTTAGTCTCGGAGAAGGCTTATCCTTATATCCTTATTCCTATATCCTTACACAACATCCGTTAGGCAGTGTCTTAGTAGCGATCTAGTGGGTACATTAACAGTGAGTGTGTAGCCAAGCCAAACGAGATTCGTTCGCAACGGATAATCTGGGCGGGCGTTTGCGGGACTCCACCTACTTCACACCTGACGGCCTAGGCGCAAGACAAGACACACGCTGCACCAGAAGATACAGGTTACATGACACCAGATACTCGTACTGTGCACATGCAGCAGACACGAGTGCGAAAACTGAAAGCTTCGCTATTGGCAATGAGCTACGGCATCATTGGCTACCTCGCTGTTGGACGCCATTCGAATAGAAACAGAAACTGAAATATCATTCTCCCTTTTAAACGGACCACAGCTTGTGGGTGGGCCAGCGATTTCAGTTAGAGGCGGGCGAGTTAACAACTTTCACTGCCAACGGAGCGTGAGCCAGAAATTGGCGACTCAATTTTGTTGGCGATAAACCATCGAAAAAGCGAGTTTACAAATTCATGCGGTCGAACTTTTTAACCGTGAACTCTCCTAACTTGCAGTCTTCCCAAGCCGATCTAGGTTTATTGTCCATATAAAGTATATATGGTAAATTCTACAGAAAGGTCAGCCAAAAAATTCTAAGTTTATAAATGCAAGTTCTTCTCACATTTTTTTAAAGTTTGTCTCGTGCGACAAAAAAATAAAAAAAAATGCTATTTTTTTACTTTTTATATATTTTTTTTTTTCAATGTAGATTAAAGAAGACAATAAAGGCAAAATAACATCTACAGAGATTAAAAAATTAAAAGAAAATACATGCAAAGCATATATATTTTTTTTTTTACTATAATAGAAATAATTGAAATACGTCTAAGTACCAAAAGTAAAAAAACAAAATAAGAAGTATGATGGAAGAAAATGTCGCGTGCAGTATGTCGAGTGCAACCGTAATTAAAATTTCATTAAATAAAATTATTTAATATTTTAAGGTCAAACTAAAATCATTATTAACGATAAATTTAATTAATTAAATTAATTAAAGTCTTCGATCAAGTTTCGCTGAAACCAGTACGTGAGCTGGTTTTCGAAAATGTCAGTTCTGTCTGTGTGTGGGTGCGAAAGGCCTAGATCTTTGTGAATATCCCAATAACAAACAATTACCCAATCTCCGTCATAGCACCAATTATAGTTCTTATCAAAAAAGCTATAAGAATCGCCTTTAGTAATAATAAAAAAAAATAAATTGGCGCTTGATTTTTCAGGCTAAACGAGAATTACCCGTTTTCCATGTACAATAGTTATAATTTTTGCTTAAACCGATTTTTAAATATGTTTTTAAGAATCTAAGAATGGAATTAGCTAAAGGTTGGTTTTGGAGAACATTTGATCTGATACCTTCTTATATGCAAACTCTACATGCTTGTTAACAATGTATTTATGGGGAGTAGAGTTAGTTCGTTTGTATTGTATTTTTTTATGAAACAGTTTAATTATAAAAACTATAATTATTTTATTTTTGGTCCCTGCTGTAAAAAACGTTTACTTTTTGTTAAAAAACGATAATTTTTTTATTTTTCTATTAAAAAAAACTCTCAAATGGCGTACATTAATTAGCAACTTTTGTGGAATTTCATCAAAACGGGTATCATTTTTTAAACATTTTTTTTGTTCGGTCAAAAAAATGAAGATAAATTGTCAAATTCATTAAAATTAGTTAATTAACAACATAAACCTTCATTAATACGGGTATCATTTTTATAAATTTTTTCCTATAAGCTCAAAATTCGAAAAAAAAAATAATTGTCAACTTAAATTAGTTAACTAACAACATTAACTTTCAAACATTTCGAGTTTTTAAATCCTTTTGCAATAAATTTATAAGATAGGGTGTCGGTGCGTGACATGTCGAACGTGACTATTCTTGCGAAAAGAAGTCTACCAATCTTCAGAAAATTAAAAAAATTGTTTTTTTTTATCTGGATATTGTGCGTATATTTCGACTCGGCTTATATAATTTTTTAATAACATTTTAATTTTAAAATTAGTCCTATTCTTAAAGTCTTCCGATCTCGGCGGTTCCGACTTTAACACACAAAAAAAATTTTTTGTTAAATTAACTATTTAAAAAAAGTTCCCTGCCTAACCATAATAGCTTATTCCCCAGAAGATAATAATGTTCCAATCAAATAGTTTATCATACGCACTTTTTTTTTGTTTGAAAAAAATATATTTCATATTGATAATACGTGTCAAATGAGTAAATTTATGGAAACACACAGTTTTTGTAGAGCACGTATTGCACAAACAAAAACATGAACAACCTTAAATTTAATAGTTATAGACAAAAACCTTAAAACAAATATTTCTATTTCTATTTAAATGATAACATCATTAAAAGTTTAAATATTTTTGCTGTTAATCTTATAATAGACTTCGAAAGAAGAGCAAAATTAAAATACATGAAAAATTGTTTAAAAGTAATATTAAATTTGTGTACAAACTTTACTAAAGAAACAAAAACAAAACATACAAAATTAAATAACTAAATAAAGTATCTAATTTTATAACCATATAAATGGAAATTAATAAATAAGTAAGTTTACATTTTTTTTTAGTTTACCTAAATTTTCTGCAATAGCTGAACACGCTTAGCGCTCCAGATGAAAACAAAATGAATAATAGGAATCCTATAGAAATATTTTACAACTCCTTGAACTTTGATAACTAAAATACATTATTCCACAACCCAAAAAGGAGTTAAGAACGCATTTCCCCCTGTACTGAACCAATAGTAGAGTGTGATAGCCCTTTTGGAAGATCGGCGGAGGGGGGCAAGCAACAAAACAACAACACGCCGCGTCTACAGATAGTGTGACGCGGAATTGAAATCGAAGGCGACCCTGCGACGACAACGAACGCATAAATTGCAAATGCTGTTGCTCTGCCAATGGAGCGCAATAATTCACAAATAGCAACGGCAACGGCAGCGGCGGCGACAACGTATATGTATGTACATACATATGTACATGCATACTTCGACTGCATTTGACACGAAGTGCAATCGCTGGAGAACGCAGCACGACTGCATCTGCGTCTCCTTTCCTCTGCGCAGTCGAGTTTCTCCCAGCTTGCGTTCATTTGCGGGTTCAAGGTAGTTTGGATATCTTTGCCTAGCCAACACTCGATTTCCGATTTTTACAGGGTATTTTGTACCTGAATTTTATGCAAAATAGTCCCGGGTTTGATCTATGTATTCCATTACTGCTGAACTTTGGTTTAAGAGAGATCAGTTTAGAATATTGGGAGCTCTTCCAGAACAATACGAATGAGTTGGCCTTAGTAAATATGTAAATATTTCGCATCAGTTTCGTACTGCAACCTCACTTTAATAAAAGTGTATTTTTCTCGGTTCATTAGTACCCTTATCATACAAGATCATTTCATGAGCCATTCTTTATAGATTGTAAACAAAAGACATATTTTCAAGCAGCAACAGGTTTTCAGTTGTAGAACTCATTGAATCTCTCTATTGAGTTTTACGTGCGTTGACTGTTTCCGTAATCAATACCGGATCATTCCTTAATACAGCGTTCAATTAAAAAAAAAGCGAACGCTAGTGGGAAATGGGAAGCTTTCCTTTTTATATTGCCAGGGCTGTTACTGCGGGATCAGTCAAAAGCTAACACATAGTGCCGCCTGCTAGTGAATAGCCTGAATAGGTAGCCTGTCCATGTCTGTGTGGAGCGAGGCGCACGCTCTCCGAGACCTTGATCCCGCATTAAAAAGTTGGCACGTCGTCGTCATCGTCGTAAAACAAAAAATAACACAGCACAAAGATAAAACCAAACCGAAACCAAAAAAGCAAAGAAAAGCAAGAGATCCGGGGAGACAAGTGAGTCAAGACAGACCGGCAAGGCATGACAACAAAGGAGAAGGAGGTAGCATGTGGACAGCCGCTTTGTGGGTCGCCAGGCGGTAAGAGGGGGTCGGAGGGAGGGGAGGGAGGGGAGGGAGGGGAGGGGGGAGAGGGAGGAACGCGCCTGCCTGGCATGCGGTGTCCATTTTTGCGCCACTCCTCCCAATCAGCCGCTGATGATCTTCATTGTTTTTAATTTGCCAGGCATTTCTGCTAGTGTCTCCGGTTTTTAACTTTTTTTTTCGAAGGTTTGCAGTGAATTTAAGTGTGGATGCGTTTTGCATGCCAACCCAATATCACAGTCTACGTTATAGCTGATTTCTAATGGCAGTTCAGTGTCTGATTAGGAGCCTTAGTGAACTTATCGCTGCGAAATCCTTTACTAATTTCATTTTATTTGTTTTCTTTCAGATGAACCAAATGAAATCGCATCAATTAAAACATCTTTGAAACCCATTTTAAACCAACAAAAAAAGTATAAAATTTAATTTCAACTAAAAAAGAAAACGTAACAAGTTCCGGGAAAACGGAACTACAAAAAAAAACGTTTTTAAACCAAAATAAATAAATGAGGCACTTAAGAAGAAAGGAATTTAAAATTTGATCAATATGAAGAGAAACAAATAACCAGCAGAAACCACAGTGGCGATTAGCCCAGCACAGCTAAGAAAGTCAAGAGAACCCGCGAAAATGTGCACCAGAAGTCAGTAGAGCAGGCACTTCGACCAAATCGAAAGCGACGACGAAAGCGAGCCACCGGCAAAGTCAAGTGCTACCGCTACCCAAACAAAAAACAACAGCCAGTACCTACAAGGAACCAATTGAGCAGAGCATCCGAAGCAATGGCCATTAACTTTTCGGCCTCCTTTGCGGCCTGCATAGCAGCCGGACTGAAGGTGCCGCGCCAGATCATGTACTGCATCACCCAGGACACGGGCCAGCCGTACGTGCTCTACAAGGACTCGCAGGACGCGGAGCGCAACCCCGGTGCCATTGGCGCCAGTCCCGCCCAGTGGGGCGGCGACATGTACCCCAACATCCAGCAGCAGGCCCAGCAGCACCTCACCGCCCAGCAGCAGCAACAGCAGCAGCAACAGCAGCAGCAGAACGCGGCCCAGGCGGCTGCCCAGGCGGCAGCAGTAGCGGCGGCAGCGGGACAGCCGCAGAGTCCTCCGGGCGGCGGTCAGGAGCCCCGGGACAACGGCAGCGGCGACGGCCGGCAGCAGCAGGTGTCGCCCTCGTCGAGTCCGTATCCATCCGTATCGGTGCAGCAACAGCAGCAGCAGCAGCAGCAGCGGGCGAACGGGGCCGGCGACGAGGATCCAATGAGTCAGGTAAGCCTTAAAATGGAGATTGGAGGAAACCCGAGACTAAACTAAATGCATGCCTTCTGTTACAGCTGGCCAACCAGCAGAACTCAGCGGCCAACCAAAACCAAAGCAGCAATGACCCCCAGCACTCGGGCTCCAATGCGGGCGAGCCGGGCAACCCGCACGTTCAGCAGAACGGTGGACCCCAACCAGATCCCGGCAACGGGTTCCAGACGCCGGACTACTACGCTCCCCGCCATGCGGCACCGCAAGGAGGCATGCTGGCGCCGCCCGGCTTCCCGCCGCTCCACTACCTCAACAAGGGCGTGCTGCCCATGGAGCAGTCCGGCGGAGGCGGAGGAGGTGGGGGCGGCGCCGGTGGCGGCGAAGCGTACGCGTTGCCCGAGCTGCTGCCCGCCCAGCAGAATGGCCAGCAGAACGCCGGACAGGCGAATGCCAATGCCACTGAAGGCGGTGCGGGGGCCAACGGCGGCGGAGGAGCGGGCGGTGCGTCGGGGGCGGGCGTGGGTCCTGTGGGCGTGGCGGCGGGCGGCGGAAGGACGGGCAACGGTCCGGGACGCCCGCACAAGAACAAGCCGCACAGCGATCTGCGGCTGTTCAAGTGCCTCACCTGCGGCAAGGACTTCAAGCAGAAGAGCACGTTGCTGCAACACGACCGCATCCACACGGACGCTCGCCCCTTCCCGTGCTCCGAGTGCGGCAAGCGCTTCCGCCAGCAGTCGCACCTCACGCAGCACCTGCGCATCCACGCCAACGAAAAGCCCTTCACGTGCCCGTACTGCTCGCGCAGTTTCCGGCAGCGCGCCATTCTCAACCAGCACATACGCATCCATTCGGGTGAGAAGCCCTTCGCCTGCCCCGAGTGCGGCAAGCACTTTCGCCAGAAGGCCATCCTCAATCAGCATGTGCGCACCCACCAAGGCGAGCGACAGATACAGATAACTTACTAACCGATGCAGAAGCAGATACAGATTCGAACGGGGGTCAGCTAGGGATAGGGATAGTGCTGGGATAGCGACCCCGGTTAGGTGCAGCCAGCCGATCCACAGGCGCTGCTTGTCTCGTTCCCTTTTGGAAACCGATCTCCCTGCTAAATTTATTACGCTCTTTTGGCCCTATGTATATCGAAATTGTCCCTACTGCTGTGCAGATTTGGCTCGTTCCCCTTGCTGATGACGAGAACAGAAGGCGAACCGAAGCTAAATCTCGAACAATGTTTGCTTAAATTTACAATTCAGCAGGGTTCACACCTTCTGCCATCGTCTCAGCAAGTTGGCAGTCCGAAAAAAAAAAAAAAAAAAAGAAAACCCTTCCGTCCCTAGATACATAAGCAGAAAGCTAGGCAGTTCTTTCGAAGATTTGTATCTCGGCTGCGCGCCAAGTTTTAGCGCTGCTAACAGTGGCCCTCTCTCGCTTGACTACTTCCATGTGACACTGCGGATGAACACGTACCCACAACACAGACGTCTCGCCACACCTCATCTTCAAGAACGGGCCGCACCCGACCCTGTGGCCCTCGGACGTGCCCTTTCCCGGCGAGGACAACGACACCAAGGGGGACATTGCCGGCACGGGCGGCGGCTACCACGACGAGGACTCGCAGGGAACGCCGGACGGCAGCGGCGGCATGCACTACCCCTCGTACTTCAAGGACGGCAAGGGTGAGTACTAGGGGGCGGTGTGGTCGGAGGCAGCTACCTTCTAATCAGATCCTCGCACAGGCCAAAAGATTCTGCCCGAGGTGCTGCAGCACATCGGCGTGCGGCCGGCGAACATGCCGCTCTACGTGCGCTGCCCCATCTGCGACAAGGAGTTCAAGCAGAAGACAACACTGCTGCAGCACGGCTGCATCCACATCGAGTCGCGGCCGTATCCCTGCCCGGAGTGCGGCAAGCGCTTCCGCCAGCAGTCGCACCTCACGCAGCACCTGCGCATCCACACCAACGAGAAGCCCTTCGGCTGCATGTACTGCCCGCGCTTCTTCCGCCAGCGGACCATCCTCAACCAGCACTTGCGCATCCACACCGGCGAGAAGCCGTACAAGTGCGGCCAGTGCGGCAAGGACTTCCGGCAGAAGGCCATTCTGGATCAGCACACGCGCACCCACCAGGTAGTTGTAGCCTGGCCTCAACCCGCTTTGATCCGATCAGTTTCTCCGTTTCATTTTATGGTTATATGCAGCTGCAATCGAGCAGAGAAAGCCAATCAGAAGTCAAGTTACACAGAACCAAACTAAACTTGCTGTACCCATACTCATCTCACTAAGAGCTCTGCTAGAGTTGAGCTTAAAATCAGTACCGAACCTGGGTGCAATGTGTCTCTGTGAGCTTTTTATGATAGCTGATACCATTTTAAGTGTAAAATTTAACCTCTTTAACCTCTGTTAATCTTAATACTTCACTGAAAAGTCGTCCTTTAGTGTCCTAGTTCGCCCAGTGTCCTAATCCATGATTTATTATCTCACCACGCAGGGAGATCGCCCCTTCTGCTGTCCGATGCCGAACTGCCGTCGCCGCTTCGCCACAGAGAACGAGGTCACTAAGCACATTGACAACCACATGAACCCCAACACCACCAAGGTGCGCCGTCAGCAGCAGCAGCAACACCAGCAGCAGCAGCAGCAACAGCAGCAACAGCAGCAGCAGCAGCAACAGCAACAGCAGAACAACAACACCGTCGCCCAGGTGGCTTCGGTGGCCAATCACCTGATGAACGACGCCAAGAATTTGGCGGCCCAGCAGTTCCTCAACAACAACAACCCGTCGACGGTGGACAACAAGGCCAACATCCTGCCGGTGCGCAGTATAGCGTCCAATGCGGCGGCCGCCGCCGTCGTCCAGCAGTCGGTTGTGAAGAACGAGCTCTACTTCCCCCAGTGCTATGGACCGCCGTTCCAGCATCCCTTCCAGACGCAGCAGCAGCAGCAGGCCCAGCAGCCCAGCGTGGCCCACGGAGGTCCCACTCCGCCGGTGACCGTGACGGTGGCCAACTCGGTGGCCTCCGGCGTGGTAGTGCAGCAGAACGCCTCCGCCTCTGTGGTGGCCCAGTGACATCCCACCACTGGAGCAACCGGGGCACAGCAACAGCAACAGCAGCAGCAGCCGTCAGCGGCGCAGCAGCAACATCACCCGCCGCCGCCTCCAGCGCCCACGTCGTCCGCCCATCACATTGCAGCCGCGGCTGCTGCTGCTGCTGCTGCTGTCACCGCGGCCACGCCCTCATCCGCCCACGCCTCGCCAGTGGCGGCGCCGCAGACGGTGACGCTGTCGATCACGCTGCCGCCGCCGCCGGCCACCCACACTGTCCATCCGGGTCATCCGGGTCATCCGGGACATCCGGGACATCCGGGGCATCCGGGCGTGGCGAATGGAGCTGCGCCACCGCCGCCACCAACTCTGTCACACGCTATTCCCATTCATCCACACATACACTCGATATTCGGATCTCTATGATGTCATCAGTAGGAGAGACAGGAGCAGGAGCAAGAGCAGGAGGCAGGAACTCAAAGTTGAGAGGACAACACACACTATTCACCATATTGATAGGTTCGATTAGTTCTTTAGTATTAGATGCAAACAAATTCTCCTAGTTTTTAAAACTAAACTTGAGACCACAAAACACAGTTTTGGTAATGGCAAACAAACGAACGAACCGAGAGGCGCTGAGCAGAGGAGTCGCAACCACGCAAACAGGACGATTACTAGTCTTTTTAAAAAAGGACTCTAAACTCCTTTGATACAAACCATAAACATGAAATGCAAATGGTCAATGTTTAAGAGAAGCAACGAGCGGAAAGAGAGAGAGAGAGAGAGCCAAAACACAGCGTTATACGATTCCTTTTTGATAATTTGTTTAAGCACCCCAAACACTTTAAATTCAAAGACTACAAATACATCAAATATTTATATACACACAGAAACACAACGGACACTCAAGGAAAGCAAAGTTCGTCCGTCTTGATTTTTGATACAATCGACCGAGGATTTACGACCCAGACCTAAAATAATTAGGATTCTCAGATAAAGTGGGTATCGATATGTGACGTGATAGATAGGGCAGCTAAAATCGGTTTGGGTGAAGGATAAAAGGACCGAAAGCATTAAGGGGAAACGCAGACGTTGGCGCTGAGCAAATTGTTTTTTGAAGCAGCATCTAAGTTTTAGTTCTGTTTTGGAGTTTTTGTTTAATGAATACGGTTGATTGGCTTTGCTGGGTAGCTTTGCTAGCTTGGCTAAGCCAAGGGGACTTGCCGTGCCCACCAAACTTTTATTATAAATTTATTTTTTCATTTCAATTGATATGTGATTTTTTAAAGTTTATAAAATAATACTGGAATGCAATTTAAAGATACGAAAAATCAACAATAAGTTATAAAACCATAAGTACTTTAAACTAGGATTCATTTGTTGTCTTCCCCAACTAATTATGTGTAATTTATGTTGAGTTTTTATTTAGTAATTAGGCATACGTTTAACCCAAATATGTCCACACAATTGCATACACACACACACACACAGGGCAGACACAAGAAATGAGCTGTAACATCATGTTTATATAGCAGGCAATTCAAATGTGACTCTTCAGGTGCCATACAAATGAACAATAGTCAAAAGATAAAGGATAAAGGATAAACACGTATCAATCGTTCAACTTATACTCAATCTGATCCACATCCACCATATAAAGAACCCCCGACCCCAAATACGTTCTTCCCCTGCCAACTGTGTGGATATAACCAACAAACTTAGTTTCTTATCAAATTTTCCAATGTACCGTCAAAGCATTTATGATTGTTATTAATATTTTAGCATATGTTTCCTACATATTTATATGTAAAAGTATACATATTTTGTGTATGTATATGTAAAGAAAAATCGCGAAAGAGCAGAAATTAACATTAGTTTAGCGGTTTCACTTTATCAAGTATCTACTCATTATTTAAAAGAACGTAGTAATTAGTCAATTAAGTTTCTATTGGAATCAAAGCAAGTGCTCCGAATACTATTTGTTTTCACTGTTTTAAACTTAATCATTATCAATTATGTTTGGATATATTATTTAATTATCTCAATAAAACAATTATATATTTTATCTGATATTTAGTTTGTTTTGCTTTTTTTCCATATACCTATTAATTTGATCCTTACCAAAAGCCTTTTAAATTCCCTTATACACAAAACTACGACTATTTCGGCTTGGGCAGGCGTCTGGTTTTTGTGATGTGAGTGTCGCTGGCAAAAGTTTTGGCAACAACGGCTTATTCAAAATTGTACATAACACGTTTCGGCATAAACTAAATGTAAATTTAACAGCAAAAGTTTTATAAATAGTTTGAAAAAATTGTTTGACATTGTAAAATATTTAATAACACCTACGGTTACGGTTAATTTAGTCAAAATTTTAAAATCACTTTTTAGGCACATTAAAATTTCAGAACTCAATAATGATTATTGATAGAGGAAAAAACGCTCTGTCACAAAGGCAACCAACATCCAAAAATTAATATGGTAACCAATGTGGTGGCTTTTATTGGAATTAGACCAACTGGACTTAATCGGAATGATCAGCATGATTTGCTATAAAACACAAAGAATAACACTAAGCTGTAGCAAACCTTTAGGCCTTTTAGACAAAATTTTATTAATCCTTTCGGCTTTAACAAATCGAAAATATATAATCGATATGAACAAACGACGAAAACACACGAACCTTTTGGCTTTAAATCAAAATTATTTTTAGTTTTAGTTAAAAAACAAATGGAAAAGTTTATGAGAACGATTATATCAAAGTAAGTTATGGCAAATTATGCTATAATTCCAATAAAAGCAAAATTTAGACTGAATGTCACTGTGATAAATGCAAATTAAAAACAAAACAACCTTAACATAAAACTTTTGTACATTTTAGGCATTAATACAAAATTTAAAGCATACACTTAATCAAAAACAAAATCATAAATTTAGGCGCAACAAAATCTAGCATAAAAACAGAAACTAAGAACAAAATTTTTAAACGCTCCGAAATCATTTTGCAGATCAACCCAGGAGAACTTAAGTTCTTCTACGATGCTCTGTAATTTGCTATTATTTTACAATTACTTATTATTTAATATAATTTACGTTTAATTTCTGTTTTCAGTTTCTTGATGTATTATTTGATTGATATCCTAGTTGCTAACGAAATTTCGTAGCAACGACGTGTTTAGAGAAAGCTGCAATATGGGGTACACCAGCTGCTTCCGTGGAATTCAGCCTTTGGTATTCTTCCAAAGGGCATCAGTAAGTGAAGACCAAAGACCACACCGGCCGAGACACAAAAAAAAAACTACATTCAAATGTACATTGAGGATGTAACAGTTAACTCATGAGTTGACAGTAAGCCTAGATAGATAAAGGGGCTACAACATGACAAACCGAACAGAACAGAACAGACCAGACCGGAAACGAAACATACCATTATAGAACCCTGATAGACAGTCGATGGAGGTAAAAAGTGCAGATACATAACGATGAGATGAAGAACTGCTGAAGAAGAAATAGGAAAAACAGAAACAGAAACAAAGTTACAAGCATACCTAACAAAAAACAATAGCCCAATTTAAATAACCAAGAGTACAAATACAAGTAATTTTTATAGCAGAAATTTTAATTGCAGTATCAAAGAGCCATAATAAGTAAACATAAGTAACATGTAACCATAAAGCAATCCAAGAAACACAAACACACAAAGAAAACAAAGGCATGGAAATATTTTAAACTTGGCCCATCAAAATCGACAAAGAAAAACCAAACTGAGAAAAGTAAATTAATCTGGAATCTGCATTTCAATGAGAAATCGTGACACCCTGAAAATCCAAAAAATGAAAAACAAAAGTAAAAAGATAAAATAAAATCCTTTCTTCTTAAAAATTAATAACGAAAAATTATAAAACATATAAAAACTAAAACATAATAAATAGAAAAACGTATAAAAATTAATCAGAATATGTTTGAGAATAATACAAAAATGATCATTTATCCGGCTTACACTTCAGACCCAGATACAGTTCAATCCCAGAGACAAAGCAAAATTCATAGAAAATGCCTACAACAAACATACAAACTACAAACGAAAAAGAAAAGTTGGGGATGGGGGCAGTGTACTCTGTGAAAAAACTACCATCCCACAATTTTCAGAAGCGAATGCATAATAATTGAATACAGCCGCTTTCTGCAATAGTGATAATAGTTTTTAAGTCAGCCACCAAGCATCAAAGCAACCAACAAAGAAAATATAATTCAAGAATCAGCAAAGAAAATGAGTATATTAAAAAAATAGATAATACACATTGAAATAGCAACGGTAAGCACTTATTTTAAAAAAATGAGGAATGACAATGACACTGATAATTCTAAATATAATTGATTTATAATAATATTTTTAATGATATAAAAGCCCATTGAACAGCTGTTTGGTTTTAATAGAAATTGAGATCAGCACGCAGTTTACTGATTAGATTCGAATTCCAATGAGATTTTTAGTTAAATTAACAAACATCCAAAAGGGAAGCGATTACCAAAGAATGAAATTGATTAATAAAAACTCAAAAAACTTAATAAAGCGAAACAAATACAAAAACAAATCCAGTAATAAAAATAAAAAGCTATGAAATTAAGCGTATAGCATATGAAAAACCCTAAACTCTTATATTATATGTATGGTGTATTATATTTTTTAACCTATTTAAGGCGTACTCTCTATATATACGATATATCTACTTATATTTGACGTAACCTAAAAAAGTGTGTAACAGCAGTTAGCTGCTTAAATAGATGGAATTACAGACTTTTAATTATATTGAATGCCAGATTGATAAAATTCATCCACAGCCTGTTCTTAGTTAAAAAGAATACAGAATGAGAAATCCAAAGCAACAATAGCCTCGTTAGTTGTTAATTAAGCTTATATGGCGATATTGAAACAAACTCTAAACTCAAATTATTGCAAAAATACGAACGAACAAGGCATAGATACTATCCTGGGCCCATTTCTTCGTTTTGGAACAAAAACCGTTAACGGTTTCCAAAATAACTTTCGTATTCGTATTATTAGTCCATATTAAGATGTGTGATTTTGTCTATATCGAATTTGAATGCTTTACCGTCAGACTAAAATTCAGTGCAACACCCCGCTAAAATTAAAAATCTTTAATATTTTTATAAAGGTTAAGGGGACAAGTTCTTAGTTGTTCAAGTACAATTTCAATACAAGGCCCCAGCATTATTCTATGCCCTTACGTATGTTCACTATTTGCAATAGACACAATGTGCCCATAGAACAAGTAATTTATTACAGACAGATATCAAATGATTTATTTATATTATATACGAATTGTTGTTTTTGCAACAAGAACGAACCACAAACAAAATGAAATAGTACCGAAAATATTTTACAGAGTTTTACAAGTTACCGACAAACAAGAACAAAATACAGCTCTCAAAATGTCAGTAAAAGAAATAGCAGCAGTACTAAAATAAATCAATCAGACAGCTTACAACTGAGAAAAACAGCAAAAAAATAGTAAAAGTCGACAAGGATCGACGAAAACCCTGAAAAAAACAAACTAAAACGGAGAACATATAGTTACATTTAATTAACATACATAAAATTATATTCCATTAAGTGTTAAGTAAAGTATGCAAATGAAAAAAAAATGGTAAAATCTTGCGCTTGTCAAGTAAAAGCAGATACTCAAAAGAAGAAATCATCAGAAGCGATGATAATGATAAGTTAAACACTCGAAAGATCACAAGATTAGAGAACGAACCGAACACAATTTGTTATGTTAACATTTCTTTAATATATACTTTTGTAATTATTATGAACAATTGACAGGGACTACCATTTAATAACTACCATAGAAATAATAACTGAGCAGAGTCAATAGAAACAAATTTTATTTATGCAAGTATCAGCGTCGGCTCCGGAAGTGAGCAGGAACGCACTTATTATTAATTGTAACTCACATCTAACTGTACATAAGCAATCACAAACTGCAACTGCAAACGCAATAGTACCAAAGTAAGTAAATCAATTATTTCACTTATTTTGCTAACGAATAGCTAATGCAACAAGTAAAAGGAGACCAGAGATCAACAGTTTCTCATCTGTTCAAGCGGATAGAAAAAAAGGCACCAATGAGTTTCGAGAATTTTTGCTATGAGTAAATCAGCTGAACGCAACATATCCATGTAGAAACATGACCCCTGCTTCATGGCCGATTACGTTTTGACATACCCAGTATAAATTCAAATTTTTTTTTATCAGAAAGTGAGAATTTAATTGAAGACTTACAGATTTTTGGTTTATTGAGCAGACGTTTTAATCAAAACCATCAAACAAAATCAAAACCAAAACCGAAATAGAATCAAACAAAGCAATAGTGATACTATACTGACAGGATCAGGATACGTACCTGCCCCTGCCAGCCAATAGCCAATAGCCAATAGCCTAATAAAAAATAACAATAAACCGAACAAATCTTTTAATTTACAACATATACAACAAATGCAACGGATACCGCAGCAGCAGCAACCATAGTACAATAAAGATACATTTTTCTTATTGACCGACTTTTATACAACAGACAACAACAACAAAACCCAATTGAGCAACTAATAGGCAAGCAGCAGCAGATGATGTTAAGAAATGATCATGAGAAGCATAGCAAGATTTAAAGCAGATTGAACCGAATCAAAAAGCGGATACCGAAATAACGACAGAGGCGATCTTAAGTATACAACAAACATAAAGCAAGAGCAAGCAAACTACCTATATACATATATTTTTTAAAGAGGCAAACGCAAAACCAAGAGCGGAAGTAACAATAGCTACAAATTGTTAAGCATTTTTATATTTGAATTTGTATAATTTTGAATCGATTTAATGTAAAAAGAAAGTTATACATATAAAACTAAAAACCTATGCAGTGAAAATCAAAGCAAAAGAACGTAAAACTTTTTTATATTACAAGAGACAAACAAGAATAACAAAAATCTCACTTTCCTGGTAAAAATTGAATTAATTGGTACAAACATAATAATAGTAACAGATTGCACCCAAACAATAAAACAGGCTTACCAACTTCAATAACAACACATGTTGTTATTTTTTATTTTATTCTATATCAGTATTGATTTTTAATCTAAACCAATCTTAATTTAATAGTCGAGTTTAGATTTACACTCACAACAACAATTACCGGAACAACCATCAACAATGTTTGAAACATACATCAACCACTGGCAATTCGTAGAATATTTTGACTATAAAAAACATCGTTGTTTCGGCTGAATCAAAAACGAGGTTCGAAATACCATTTAATAATTTGCATAAAATATGAGGTTCTCTAAACTATTCAGAAATCATATTTACATTAAAAATATAGAGGGAAAACTTTTAAAAGAACATTACAAACTTTACGAAGTAAATGTTTGGTGACAAAAACTCGCATTGCAGCGAAATCAAGAAACTTTAGATATCAAAATCTGAATAAAAAATGGTGACTTAACCAATGGCAATGAAAAAAACTAGACAAACATCTAAAAAAAAAAATTGAATACATACCTTCTCGGCCAATTCCAAAGTAAAGTTCTCGGAAAAAACAACTAATCTCGGTCATTTCAAAATTGATTGCACAAAACAAGGCAACTACTTAAAGGCAATTCACGTTTAATTACAATTTTCGGAGCAACCAAAAACAAAATTTAAATTTAAGCCAAATGTATAAGCATCATTTTTTACATAAAAATTAAGTAATAATTAAAATAAATACTTAAGGTATTCAATGTAAGAAACAAAATCAAGTCAAACAAGAAAAACGTTTAACCACTTTGAATATGAACAAAAAGTGAAACTTTAGGAAGAAAAAGCGAAGTGAATAAACAAATTTCACCATCAAGGAAAAGAGAATTGCTAATCCCGAAATAAACTACCAAAAATTCAAAATTGTAATTGTTATAAGGAAATTAAAGCACTATATATGCGAACATATATCCAGAAAATTCTTAACACCAGCCAAACTAAAAGTAAACCATAATATCACACTCACCCACACCCCCCACAAAAACCATGAAACGGGCAACCACCAAAGTACACACTACATTCTCCACCACACACTCAGCCCCACACAACTTCCATTGGTTTAGATTTTAAGCATCATTTTTAACGTAATCGTCAGCCAAAAGGAAAAAAATACGAAAACACAAAAAAGAAACCTATCATGGCAGTCCAAAATTAATCAAAAAAAAAAGAATAAATAAGATTTTAAGGCAAGCAAATATTACCGAGTCAAAAATAAAATATTTAAGCAAGTAAACTTATGCAAACTCTTGCGTCGTCTAGTTTAATGTCGTAACATTTTACTTTTTGTAATAATTAATTAATATTAAAAGATATATTCTGTAACAAAGCAACAGCAAAGGTAAACTCACATGAACATCTATCGACCTACAAATTTCCAAACAAAAAACAGAAACCAACTAAAAAAGCTCACCAAAACGAAAAAGCCAATGCTACGGCATGTGCAACAAAAAAAAACAATTCTGGCATCCAAAATATAGAACTACTTAAAATACGAACCCATATGATTATACAAGAAAATGATTTAAAATAAATTGAATCTTGTAATATAAAGGATCGAGTTTCTTTTAAGTACACATTAATTTTTTTTAAGTCCGATGCGAATCTGAACATTATTTAAAGAGTATCTTATTACACCGGATACTAGCATGCCAAATCGAATTTGACGACACCGTCGTAGTCTGGGCCATACTCGAAGATGGGCTTCCTTTTCCAAGGGCGGTTGAAGCAGGCCGAATAGGTTGTCTGCATATTGCTGATTTCGCCTAGAAGTTTCTCGCACTTGAACCGCATGGGATAGTTGTGAGTCCTCGTAAGATTTCCGAAGGCCTGCAGTCTGTCTACCTCCGTTGGGCGCTTTGGAGGACCGCTCTTGTCACTCTCCATATTGGCTTGCACAATACGAAGTCGAGGCAGTTCCTGGAACTCAAGGGTGTTGGTTGAAGTAAAGTTTCGATTCAGTAGTTCGTGGTCTTCAAGGTTCAAGCACGACCGTGTGTTTCTCATAAAGTTATGGTAAGCCAGCTTCCGCTGCTCTACGAAAAAGGGTACCGTTTCGGCACGAGCGAAAGGTGCATCTGTATACGTGTCCTGGGTGAGTGATCGATGGCGCTCGCAGCCACTCACCCGGAGTCCTGGCAGGATGGCGTTGCTTTGCTCCTCAACGGCGTAACGACGCTCAGCCCAGTTGCCAATCAGCACCTCCTTGCTGTATGGCGGCGAGGCCATGTCGTCCGCCAAAGACTTTTGACTTGTCCCACGCATCCTCGCAAACGTGGAAAATTTATTCGACAATAATAGAAAAACTGATCAAATTAAAACTAAATTTTTAATGGTAACACAACGATAGAATGACAAACAAGTGCTAGCCTCCTCTGCACCTCTTAGTTTACTAAACACAAGTGATACACTCATTCCCTGTTATAAATGATTTTATTTTACTACGAATTTTGTGTTCATCGACAGTACTTTGCATTTAGTCTTTTAAGTCGTCATGAATATTGCAATTGAGAAAAATAAACCTATCCATCTCCCTCTTTCTAGTAGCTTCGTCCGCAACTGTCCATTCACCGATCTTAACGTTTTCGGTCTTGGCCCTAGTTTTAGCATCGAATTCGCCTCTGTAGCTAGTTAGGCCTTTAGGTGCACGCTCGTTTGCCAACTTACAGCGCAACTTATTGTGGACTAGGCTGCAGTTGCCATAGCTGTCAAGACTATCAGGCCTCTTTGGCGTAAAGTGTGACTGACCAGCTTCCTCCATTTTCAAGCACTCCTCCAGCCGCATCTTCGGGAAGAGGTGGAACATGAGGGTATTCATGGTGGTGTAGTTGTTTTTGTACTGATCCTCCTCGGATAGGTTTAGACCAGCGCTCTGCGAGACCTTGTTACCGTACATCCGGTTCCTGAGGACCAAGTGATCGTGCACAGATTGGTTGTAGTTGAAAGGGGTGTACGATGCTTGGCTGCAAGTCTTGTGCTGCTCGCACCCTGTTTCGGTCGTCAGTCCTGGCAATATTGTGGTACCATTATGAACTGGGCCTTGGAAGCGATTGTTATACCAGTTGCCAACCAACACGTTGTTGCTATACATCAGAACCTTTTCATTGGCATATAAGCGCCGCTCATCCTTCATGTCATCATCCATAGCCGATGTGAGTATGAGGAAAAGTTCACTTAAAATATAACAACTTTTCGTAATATTATTTTTAAGCAACTATGGGAGAGGTGCTTAGTTGAAGCAAAATGCTCAGGCGAATTCTAAGGCCCAGTACTCAGATCAACGAACTACTTTCGTCAGTTAACATTTTTCGTCTGGGTCCTTTTTCAACCCGTACTCAGATCAACAAAAAAATAACATAGAAATTACACAGCGTTGGCAGTATCTGGGATGAGCTCTGGGTAACGTTCGTCAGGACCTGGTGAAAAGAATAAAAAATATTTAATTTTTTCTGGGATCATAAAATGTATGGAAGCTGGCGGTAAACAATTGAATTGTTTGAATCGAATGATTCATTAGAAATCCGATCCGGTCATTTAACTCACGAAATGAATAGTACAACTCGCCTGCAATGTCAAAATAGAAAAACTGTGTACTGAAGAGAGTTTGGCCAAAGGCGTTTGTTATAGATGTGTGCCCTCGAAATTTATTCTTCGTAATAAGATGAAAAATAATCGAAAATATTATACTATACAAGCTTATTATTTGAGATTTTACTTATGCAAGCAATAAATTAATATTAATAAATTTATTAACCGCACACTGTCAGCTTTGACGACAAGGACATAGCATAGAGTAAGAACTATATAGAGACACCATTTGCTCTGCCGCTCTCTTGAGTGACTTTTCCAGTGATGCCACCCAGACTAAAAAAGGGGAAAATTTAAGTTTTTCACGGTTCGATTGGAACTTGTAATTTGGCCCACGGTGAATTAAAATCAATTCGATAGTTTACAATTTTAAAAACATCCTGTGAGTTTTTTGAATGGCAGCGTTTTTAGGATCGCAGGAATGTACCGCTGCACCTGAAACTTCAACCGCGTTCATCTCGAAACGACATTTTCGAAAACTGCTAACATCATAACTCGACTACAAGTTGAAGTGCTTTTGATTCTATCGTTCTCTCTTTATCTCACTCTCTAATCTGCTGCCACCGGCAAAGCAGCGGCCGATCAGTAGCAGAGGCGCGGCATAGGTCAAATAACTTTTAAAATAACAGCTCGATTTTAGGAATTTTTGTGTCTACTGATACATATGACCGAAACCCACACACAGAATACAACCCTATATACCATGTCTCAGAGTAGCGTGACAGAGGTGTTTACTGTTTCGTGACTGTTTTGAAAATAAACTTGCCCAGCTTAGGAATCACTTAAGTCTGCAAGCCCAATCGCAAACCTCTAAATTTTATAGTTTTCGAGATCTCGACGTTCATACAGACGGACAAACGGACATTGCTAGATCCACTCGGCTATTGATTCTGATCCAGAATATACATAATTACTTTATAGGGTCGGAAACGTTTTCTTCTTCCACCGGTTACATACTTTTCAACGAATACAATATACCCTTTTACTCTAGGAGTAACGGGAATAAAAATTAAAAAATAAGGAACAAGAATTGAGCAGCGAGAGCTCGTCCTTTAACACTTCAAAAGTGGAAAAAGTCAGCGTGTCATTCCTGAAATGGTATCCGTCAACCCCAGTACCGTACAATACATCCTCCAACGGTTTGTTCACCGAACATGAAGAGCGTCGTAGTGTTCGCAAAATTAAGGAAAACCCAAAGCTATCGGGCCCAAAAATCGTTGCTCAGGTCGAGAATGATGTGGGCCAAAAGTGTAGTGTTCACGCAGTGCACCGTGTGTTGCATGATCACAACTTTAATGGCCAAATTTCACGGAAAAAGCCATTTATCAGCAACAAAAATATAGCTGCTCGCCTTAAATTTACGAGGGAGCATATACTTTGTCCGATTACATTTTGGAATGACTTATTATTTGCAGGCAAGTCAAAATGTAACCTTTTTTTCAGATGGAAGACAACTTGTTTGACGGCGACTTAATACGGAGCTTAAAACAAACACCTAAAAGCTACAGTCAAGTATGGTGGGGGTCATGTTAAGGTTTGGTCCTTATGGCAGCCTCTGGCGTGGGCATCCTCGTTTTTATTGACGGGATCATGATGCTAGAATGTATCTCGAACTTGAAAAAAAATCTGCTTCAAAGTGCTGAAAAACTCGGCATTCGCGATCGTTTTCGATTCTACCAAGACAACGATCCGAAGCATTTGGCAGGCATTGTGAAGTCCTGTCGTCATAACACCAGCACAGTCTCCAGACTTGAATGTCATCGAAAATTTATGGAAAATATTGGACTTGGCAATTTGAAAAAGACAAATTTCGAATAACGATTTGAAGAATGCTCTAATAGAAGAATGGCAAAAAATACCAGTAGAAACGACCAAAAATTTAGTCGCGTTTCTGGAAAATCGTCTGAAAGCTGTCCAGAAGCAGAAAGGAAGGCACACAAAATATACGAAATTTTTTTAAGAATAATAAGTTTATCCAAATGAAGTGCACGAAAGTACATATGTTTTTGTTGTATTTTGTTATTATTTTTATGATTAAGGAGATCGTTTTTAGTTTATTAAATATGCTTCTGTTTCTGTAGTTAAAATATTGCGTTTTCATTTTTGTTTTATCTATATTAGTTTAGTTATTATTTTTGTTATTCAACTGCACGAAAAAGCTGCGGGCCACTGTATATACAAGTATGTACAATATACTTCCCTCTGCAAGGGAATTAAAAGAAAATAGATAATTATATGCGAAAGATTAATTAAAATTCCCAGTAGCTAGACAGCTCTTCCCAAATCGATGAAAATTAAGATGTCCACAAAGAATATACTACATAAAGTTTATTATATTTAGTAAATATTTGTTTCGCGATATTCCACAGATAAATATTAAATATATTAGTATTGTTACCATTGCATAATTAATTTAATATTTAAGATTTAGCCCCAATATTATTCGATTAACGAATTATTTTATTTACGATGTTGTTGATGACACTGTCATCGTAATGTTAAGAGATGGCTTTAATTAAACACAACGATGAAAGTTCAATTCATATTATTTCTAGTTCTGAGGGGAATTTCCGAAATATGCATGTTTGCGTAATGCTTGGTATTTATCTAGATATACATATATTCTTAAAGCTTACATTTAATAGCACAGATAGTAATAGTTTATTTTTTTACGTTTATGAAAGGAATATTTATTTATTTATATTTGTAAGTTTGCCATCAGCTTGTACATTTCGTTTAACCGAACTCCGTAGAAATTATAACTTAGTACATGTTAAAACTAGGCACCATAATTTTTGGAGCTACAATATTTGCCAGCATTGTAAGACATTTACACTTATAAAATGAGACTTGCATACTTTTTATAGACGGTTAAAGTATATTTTCGTGAATAAGAGTTCTTTTAATATCATAATCATATAAATTATTGCATTCCTTACACAAAACTTTAAATAGTTAAGTTTAAATTCCATAATTTAATTTATACCTGTTTTGACTAATATATTAATATTATTTGGTGCAATTTATTTATTATATTAATTTTTGTTATTAAATACGCTTATTTTTCTAATTATTGTTACCATTGTGGATGAGATGTGAGTGAATGTGTGTGGGAATTTGTCGTGTATATTTTGTATTGTGTACTTTTAGTATGCTTTCATGCGTGGGTTAATATAATGAGCCTTTGATTGCTTGCTCTGTTGAACGAGCTTTTTTAAATATATATTTTTTTGTTCGGTTTTTAAGTTTTTTCTTTTTTTTTTTCTTTTTTTGCCTTGATATATGAGAATGCGTCTCTGTCGAGCTTGGACTGATGTGCGATTAAATAAAAAAAATTTTGATTGGTCCATTAGATGCCTTTAGCAGCGCGAACAAAAATTAATTTCCGCCAAATAAAAATTTCTTTACAATTGGTGACCCAGAAATCTCCTTGTAAGTTTATGATCTTGTACATTTCAACCGAATAGATTTCTGTGTCGCCCACGTATAGATAAGTTTTGTTGATCGAAACCAAACCATCGAAAATGTGATATGCTCTTAGTGCATCAGTATAATCTTTTCTATGGGTATAAGACTTCTGAGTTGCAATGATATGAATCAAATGACAATGATATTTAGTGAGTTCAATAATTTAGCTGAGATAACTCTCGGTATTCTATTGAATTTATTTAATATTCCTTTCAATTAATTGACTATTAAGATTCATATTTTTGATTTTTAACTTTGAATCCTTTTTTTTGAAGAAAACTAACCAAATTCGCTTGATTTCTTTTGTATATTGTGTTCAATCTAAGCAAGTATCTGAATTTTTTGTGAATACATGTAGAGCTAATTTTTTAAAGATCAATTACTGCACATTCCAGTAATCTTGTGCTGTTTTTCTGGTAGAAATTTTCATTTGGTTTAGTGCTTTATCCTTTTTTGAGAGATATTAAGTCCTAGGCAGAACCACAAAAACTAATAACGCATCGAAACTTTTTTAATATAAAAATATGCATAAAATGAAAGATTTTCTGTTTTTTAAAATAAATATCGATTTTTACTCTCCATTTGATGTTTTTATGGATATGATTTTGTCAAAATGTATATTTTAACTAACGCGCCAGAGTTTTGATTTGCGTAATTTTACACAAATGTATTCCTTGCTTTTCAAATACCGAATAAATTAACAATCAATTTTACCAAAAAAAACCATGTTTTACTTCACTACGCCTTGCTTTGCCTTGTCCTTGCCATGCCTTTGTTGACTCTTATCCATTTTATTTTCATTTATGCTTGCTGAGACCTGGTTGTAACTGCATTTGACTGTTGAACCAAATCGCATTCACGAAAACGATCACTTGATTTATAATCTGGCTGATTCGCTGCGGGGAAAAAGAGGTAAGATCTAAGATAATCAGAAATTGAATTTTCAACTTGTTGGTTTACAAATTCTTTAGATTAAATTTTATTTTAAAAAATTAAAATATTTGGCTCCACAAGCTGATGTGCAAATCAACATAAATTTTGCATTTGTGGGATGATCGGTTTATGTGCTTAAAATAATATCACATTAAA